CCCCCCCCACCCCGTGCTTTTCAAACAAGAAACAAACACGTGCACCCCCTCTCTCCATCACTCCGCTCGCTCTCTCTTCCTCACACACACTGACAGAGAGACTGCCAAACACAAAGGTTCATGGGAAATTAATAGTTAAGGTAACACTGGCCAGCATGAGAAAATAAGTTGGAGTGAAGACAAAATTATTATTATAATATCCTCCCAAAAACCGCTAGAGAGGGCTGCATTCAAGTCTAACGAGTAAAGAAACAGACACTGATTAAAAAATCAGAGATCTGAGAAGGAGGGCCTCTCTTTACAAGGGCAGTAAAGGTACTGGGTCGTCGGATAAAGGAACAACAAAGGGTGGAATGAGAGACAACATGGTATAAATATAATGCTGTTTGTAATGCATTGGCATTTTGGACAAAAATTAAATTGGGCCAAAACATAAAAGCACATGGCAACTGTTGGGAGCAATAAAAAACATGAACGGGATTTAATTCATTGTTTATTTTAAAAACTTAAAGCTTCCTCCGGCTGAAACGAAGTTTCGAACCCCAGAAGAAACGTGACATAAAGCTAGGTCCGAAATCGAAAGTGGAAAGTGGCAACATACCTGAAGTGTCCTGAAGTAGAAGAGTGGTCGAGGCCCCAAACAAAAGGTACAGAAAACGTTATTTGAGTAGTTTTAGGTGAACTTGATACTGTAAATCTGTTACTTACAAAGCAGTTCTTCTCTAGTTCTAGATCTAGAATCTAGAATCTATCGACTATGATAATGATATCGTTATTGACATGGCCCATCATGGCCTTTACTTTTACTTTCACGAATGCAGGCCTAATCTATTGACTATTCTAGATCTAGATCTAGATCTAGATCTAGATCTAGATCCGTGGCGTAGGCTAGATCAATTCAAAAAGATAGTAAAACTAAGTGAAAAAGACAGTAGAAAAATTAAAGATTAAAGGGGATGTAATCTGGATCTAGATCTAGATCTAGATCTAGATCTAGATATTATAGATCTAGATCTAGACTCTAGTTCTAGAAGTATGGTCAATTTATAAATATTTTCAGTTTTCATAAAGTTTTTTTTTCAGTTTAGTAGATCTATATTCTAGATCTAGATTTAGATCTAGATTCTAGATCTAAACTGACTGGATTTATGCATGGCTTCTTGAATACGAGAAGTGATGCCAGTTGAGTGCCCCTGCATAGGGCCTAAGGATAAAGCATGCTTTACTGTGGCTGTGGGTTTTTGTTGTTGTTGTTTTTCGTCTCTCATATATTACTGTCTTCATTAAATAGGATAAAATGCTGAGTGCAGCAACCCCAGAGGAAGGCACACACCAAAAGAATGAAGAGGACATGGATGTGACGGATAACCTAGAAGAGGATGAAGAGAACGAGGAAGATGACGATGTTGAGGAGGATGTGGAAGGGCCGCAAGATGTGGGAGGCTTCACTGTTCTGGGAGAGTTCAAGGCGAAAGAAAAGAAAAAGGTTGTGTAGTCTTTTTAACTTTATACTTGCTACGATAAGTGCAGTCTAGAGTGCTACACATAGTGAAACGTGCACAGAGCAAACAGATTTTCAGGTCCCGAATTTTTCTTTCACATGTTAATTCTTTGTATTTAAAAAAAGGTACATTGAAATTTGTACGTAATCAAATGATTGCCGCGACCCTCCAATTTCGCTCTATATATGCTAGCCTAGCCTGTATTCATTTTCTTGTTTAATTATTTTAAAATATGGAGCTCTGGCAGAATGCTTTTTTTGCCATGTTGTTCTCCTCCTTTCAACAGAGCACTAAGCTATTCTTATGCAGTTCGTACAGTCTGTTGTATTTTTATTACTAGGTGGGAGTACATTTTTTAAGTGGCCTTTTCATGTAAAAATAAAGCTCGATGAAACTCTGGACTTTCACGGTTTGTGACTAACATTGTTAAAATGCTGATGCAATGTATTTACCTTCCCCTAAAAGCTGAAAGAAGATAAAGAGAGTTTTAAAAATATTTTTATTGTAGACTACTTATGTTTGTAATGAGTATACACAAATTTATAAAATAAAATTTGAGAGTTTGTTTTCAAACAATAATTATTGGAATGTGTTTTCAGGTTGAAAGGATTCTGCCCAACTGGCTACGCTACCCAGTGATCATCCAGCCTCAAGAAGATAAAAGCTTCTGCGATATTCAGGGTTTAGATCGCACACTCGTCGAGAAATTGAAAACAGCGAATATACAGTCCTGTTTTCCAGGTGAAGACACCAGCTTTCATTTATTTTCTTAGAGTATAATGTTGTCCAGAGGCATAATGGGGTGAAAAGAATTTCATATGTTTAAAAGCAATCTTTATATGTAATACAAGATTTTAAAATCTCCTTATCCCTGTCTTATAATTACTCTTGAAGATAGATATTCGTTTCTTTCGAGCAGTAACAAAAAACAAAGTAATTTCTTTCATTTGAATGTAAGATTTGTATATGTCACTTCAACCGAGCAAAAAGGATATTGGTTATTTATCAGAGTAGTACAAAATATTTCTGAACAATTTTAGTCTTTATAAGTAAATAACTAGACTAGGTTCTCTCTTCATCTTGGAATCAGAGGCTATTTTTATTTTTCTTCTTTCAGTACAATGGACTGTGATCCCAGAGCTTTTAGCCCAGTGCGAATGTGGGGTGTACGCTGGAGATGCTGGCTTCCGAACCCGAGACATCTGCGTGTCTGCTCCAACAGGAAGTGGAAAGACTCTCACCTTTGCCCTGCCCATTATACAGGTTAATAACACGATGACTTTTCTGTGGTACAGGAATAATCAAAGACTGCAGTTACTCTTAGGAGTCCAGGGTTTCAGATTCTTTTGATGAAAACCTTTTTTCTTCACTTGACGATCTGAACATTACTACAATTTACTTTGCGACAGACTTATTGATTTTAAGACATGATAAAAAAAAATAATTTTTTCTCGGATTTGCTCATATTTGCACAGACTTGTGTGACTGAAAAATTCATCCGAGTATGCACCAAACCCCCCCCCCCCCCCCCCCCCCCCAAAATGATGTTTTTCTCACTGTTACACTGATACAAATGTTTCTTTTCTGTGTGGGTGATAGGTCGGTACTCTGATGTACTTTGCTTCTTCTTTCCTATCAAACATCTATCGCGCGCTCATATAACCTTAGCAGTTGCGAGCGCCGTAAAACCCTATACTACATACATACAAACATCTATCGTCCTTATTTCTCCTCCCTCCTTTTCTTTTTTTTTTGTCGATTACTTTCAAGTAATATTTCTAACCTTCGGCACTTAAATGACTTATGTGTGTTGCAGGTGCCTTAAAATTCTTACTAAAACTAAACTAAACTAAACTGCCCTTCTCTCAGGCCTTACAAACCAGAGTTGTCCCCCATGTGAGGGCTCTGGTGATCCTCCCAGTCCGTGACCTGGCGGTGCAGGTGTACAAAGTGTTTGAGGAGTTCACAAAGGACACACCTCTCAAGGTAAGCTAGCTTCAGACCTGCCTAGTACTCCGAATTCCGCGTAATCATTACGGAAAACCAGGTCGGATTACGGGAGTACGGAAATTGTCGGCGGATTAAGGATTTCGAGGGAAAAAAATAATGATTATAATTTTATGAATGAAACAAAGACCAAACGGTTCTCAATGCCCGATAAGGCTAAGGCTAACTTTTCTTTGTGAGAGCACACCGTACGGCCTCGTCTGCGCATGCGCGGTAATGAGTAGAACTGTTTTAAATTTCGTCACGATCTGGATCTTGTGCATTGTCATAACCTAGGTCCAGCTTATACTGTTCTTTCTACATTCTGGACGCTTGACTTCATTCCTTCTGGCTTTTCCTTGGATATTTTTCCGTTTTGTGTCTAGATCTAGTCTAGATCTCAGTGTGTATTGTTAGTTGTTTGGTGATTGGATTCATTGTTTTCGTCAGTAGTTCTAGTGAATTCAGCGGGTAGCTCGAGTGAGTGTACCTTTAGTTTTTCTCACTGCTTGATTACAGATTTTTCTGTCAGATTACAGAAAATTAAGCACCAATTACAGAATTTGGAAATTCAAATTAAGCAGGTCTGTAGCTTGTGTGGTTTGGTTTCCATGCAGTAGCTATCTGTGGTGTAACAGTTAGTAGGCGTTTTGCCGTCGTACTCAGAAGAATTTAAGAAACAATAAATAAATTACATCTAAATTGGTCCCAGAAGGGAAATTTGGTTTACAATGGCAAACGTACATACATAATTGTAAACTCATACATACATAAGTACTTACACATATACGTACCTTAATCAAAACATGGGGTTACAGCCAGTTGGCGACTTAAACAAATTTGATAATATTTTAAACAGCTACCATTTTCTTTAAAATTGTCTGAGGGGTTACAGAATGGTATCAAAATTGCTAAAATTAATTTTTGTTTTTAATCTTTGTTTTTTTTTGTCTCTTTAGGTTGTTTTATTAGCTGGCAAGAAAGAATTCCAGATAGAACAGAAGAATTTAGTCAGAGAAAGGTAAGCATAAGTATGGTTTAGTGCGGTAATCTTATGACCACAGCTTTTTCATGTCTTTAATGTTTATCTTTTGCTTTCCTCTAAATAATGCTATCACTATTGTTTTCTTTGTCTCTTTAGACGACCATAGAGCGACAGACAATGATAGGTCTTACTTTTTCTATTTCAGTAGTGGTGTCGGTTGTTACTTTCCAATTTTGAGCTATCTTTTATCCCTATTAAGGACTAAAGATACATTGTAGGCAGTGTTTTTGAATGTTTGGAGAATGTCAGATATTGTGTTTGGATGTCTAATCTGTTAAGATGCATTAGGTTCCAAGCCATGTTGAATATGGGGGAAGTAGCGGTGCGGTAAGTCTGTGAAATTCAGTGTCTGATTTTTACGTTTCTTCAATTGAAACCATCAGGCCCCACAGTTCCCCGTGCGACAGATGGGCCAGTGCCGCGGACATTGTGGTGGCCACTAAGGGCCGTTTGCTGGATCACATCGACTTCACTGACGGCTTCGATCTGACACACTTGAGGTTTCTGGTGAGTGGCCTGTGTTTGAGATGTGTCGGAACTCTGTAAACTCTTAGTATCTGGGGTGCCAGTTCAGCTCAGCTGTGTCACGGCCTCATCACAGTCGTAACAATAATCTACCAAACCTCAGAAAATCTGTCTTATCGATAATGACATGAGGTTAAATTCTTGGATCTTTCATTTCTGCTCAGTTTGGTGTTTATTTAATGTAAATAGGTTAGATGATATCTGAGAACGCAGAATTTTTTGAAGTCGAAAGCTCTGAATTGTTTGAAAGTCTCCCCATCTATTATCTGTTGAAGGTGATTGACGAAGCCGATCGGCAGATGGAGGATATTTATGATGACTGGCTGAGTCAGATTGAAGCGGCGATGTATCGGCCGAAGAAAGGAGCTAGCGGAGCCTATCATCGCAGTCTGCCAGGACCTTGCACAATTGCTGGGTAAGCTGGGAGTTTACACCTACCACCTAATATGTTTTTTTTTTCCTTCATCAAGGATACAATCATTTCCATTTTTTAAATTACTTGTGTTTTTGTCATGAGACTACTTTTCCTGGCTAGCCAACTGTCCTGAAATTTCTGGGACTTCTGGATTTGGCTTTTTTAGGAATTTGAGAGCCGTATCTCATACACTCTGCCAAAACCAGTTCCTCATGATGTAATTTTGTTTGTTGTTACGAGAATGAGGAAGAAAGAAGAAACGAGAAGGAGAAAGTTTGTTGTTACATTACAGTGCGGTGTTTTAATGTCTGGTGTCCTAACTGGGTTTTTGAAAAGTTAGCAAGCCTGCTTTTCTGATAGTTTGTTTGCTTTCAGACTGAAGCCTGGATCTTTGTTTGAGAACATGTTATAATATTTGGGCCCCTACTTATTTTCAGTGTTGTTTTCCAGCTCGGTTCCTGGTGAAATATGGCTGATATTGTACTGATTGGCTATTTATTAACAGCAACTTACTAGTATTTTATACAAGGCTCTTGTGAAGCCTTTTGTGCTTTTCTCGAGGAGCATGTTGTTGGAGCACGCAAAAGTAATAATTGTTTACGACTTTCTTTGTGTTTCGTGAGTTTTTATACCGGTGTTTAATCCTATAAAGTGTGAGTGGTTGGCGGGTGCTCTGGTGTGGTTTGCTTCCTCTTTCCTGTCAAACGTCTGTCTTCTTTATCTCCCCTCCTCCTTTTTTTTCGTGTTTGTTACTCTTTTGTAACACCCTCTAATCTTCGGCACTTATATGACCTTATTGTGTTGCAAGTGGCGTAAAACACTTACTAATTGGCGCTCATATGACCTAATGCAGTTGCGAGGGCCGTAAAACCCTCTACTATAACCTATAACACTTACTATAACTGAAATCCTATAAAGTTATGTAAAATGCAGGATCTCCGATTTGTCATGTGTTTGACATAGGGTCAAGCCGAGTGAGCTTGAGGAGAGTGCTTTGAAAAACTGCTCCGACAATCCCAGTTTTTTTAACGTTTAACGCCATGCTTGGGATTTGTACAAGTGTTATCTGCTTCACAGTCCAGCCTGATACCATCAATCATAGCTAATGCTGGGCAACTCCGATGTTCAAACGTTTATTTTTACCTTATAATCTTTTATATCAAATATTCTGTTAATGTCAGCTGAAGTCGTTTCTGTTTTTAAATTAATAAGATGAATATTTGGAGTAATTTTCTTTAGTCAGAACACAACGTTTTATGTTACTGTTGTACGTTGTACTGTATTGTAAAGCGCTCAGAGCCTGTGTACTTTAATCGGGGTTGAGCACTATTTTAATGTCATTTATTATTATTATTATTACTTCTCTTTTAATCACTTTGATATTCTCAGCAGTGTAACTTGACATAGTGCATGGATAATTTTCTTTCCTACCCCGATCATAATGACTTTGATTAAACGATCTTATGGCTGCCTGGGTGCTACACTCCGACTACTGCCAAATTCCATAAATGTGTTTGTCGGAGTCTGGCATCCAACCATCGTTATTAATGTGCGCTTAAAAGGTAACAGTTTTGTAATTCTCTGTGTTTAATTATTTCAGATCCAAAGAAGTTGTTATGCATGTAAGTATATTTTTTACTTTCACGGGCCCTTTGTTATTTTGTCTAGCCTTCTCGGACAAAGGCGAAAAATCTCCCGAGTGCAAGTTGCGCATGTTGAAGATCCCTTGGTCCAAAATTGATAAAAGTAGGCTTCGGCCGCCACCCTGACAAAATAAAAAATTTCCTACCAAATGAAAATATTTGGTGTGTCCCGTGCACTCATATGACATTATGCAGATCCGAACGCCATAAAACACTTACCCAAAAAAAAAAAAAAAATGTTATTTTGTTTTTATCTAAAGAAACTACTTTTTTGCTTTAGAAAAGAAAAATTGACATTTCTGTGGTTTTAATAAACTGACAAATGTCTAAGAAACTTTAAAAGTTAGTTTTTGAATGTTTTGTCGTTCCAGTTTTTACTCTTTATATGGTTGGGAAATGTACAAGCCGAGACCTGATCTGTTATAACACAGGAAAATATTTTAGAGCCTCTCAATGCTTAAGAGACTCCACAGTCAGTTACAGCTCCATCATAGAAACTTCTGTTTGCACAACACTGCGCTGGTTTTCTGTCAATGGTTGTAAAAGCCTGTAGGGGAAAAAACTGCACATCTTTGATTAGTGCCAGAAAGTAATAAAGAACCCTTTTGGGGGGGGGGGGGGGGGGGGGTTGCAATTGGTTTTAATGCTGCCTGTGCGTGCATTCCCAATTTATTTTTGAAAGAAATTTGAAAGAATCTGTAATTTTTCGCTTCATCCCATTTGATGATACCCCGGAAGAATTAATTGGTAGGCCAACTGGAAGCTCTTGCCAGCCGTTGTGACGCTGTAATAAACCTGACCCTTTTTGAAAGTTGAAGACTTGAGAATTAGAGTGGGGTTTGACTACATCCAGTCCTTCTGGATGAGATTTTGTCGGGATTGGGTCAAGTGTCCCTCCTTCAATGTGACCTACGTTTTATTTAGAAGAGCATCATTATTTGGTTTTTATTTTTTCGGGCTTCTGTCAGATGTTTATGAAAGGAATATAATATGTTTTGTTTTATTACGTTTTTCTTTTGGCTTTAACAGACCAGACAGATGGAAAGACATGTCATATTCTTTTTCTTTTTATAAGAATATTTTAAACACCTTTTTTTAAAAAATGTCTTTCACAGCCTCAGAAGCTGCTCTTTTCTGCCACATTGTCACAAAACCCAGAGAAACTGGAGCAGCTCAATTTGTTCATGCCAATTTTGTTCACCTCCGTGGCCTTGACCTCTGAAGTTCCCTCAAGGCAGCAGACAGGAGCAGACGCCACAGCCAATGCTGAGAACCAGACAGAAGGTATTTATTGTGTTCATGGGATGTTACGTTTTTGCTCTGTTTCTAAGTCTTGCCTTCTTTTTCCTATGGAATTTTAACATAATCAAATTTTTTTTTCTTCGTGGATGGATGGAAAGTTGCACCAGAAGCTCCGACACTATCTCTTTCCTGTCAATCTATTTGTTTTATTTTGTTTTCCTTTTTGGTATTCTCTCTCTCTCTCTTGCCCTTTTTAACTCCCAGTGGAGCACAGGCCATCAACAACATTACTCCAGCGAAGCCTGTCCTGAGCATCCTTTTCTATCTATTTCCATGATGTCCCCGCTTTTTCAATTTCTTTTGGTATTCAAGCTCCTCTTATTTTTTCTTTGCAATGTGCTCCCTTTTTTCACTTTAACTTTAGCAAAAAGAATCAATTAAAAAAATATAATGTGGTCTTCTTTTCTTGCAAATGGAATAATGTAACCTTTCTGCCAGTGTTTATGGAGGAATTTTGACTTAAAGAAATGGCAATATAAATAATAAGATAATAAAATAAATTATTACACTTTTATATGTCCCAGAAGAGCACTTTGTTTTACAATGGCAAAAATACATACATAAATACATAATTATAAATACGTACATACATAAATACATACATGCATAAATGCATACATAAATACACACTATTACACAAATACAGAACAGTTTACAAACAATGCCACTGTCGGTCGCCACTGTGCAGCGCCCTGTAATTTGAGCTAGGGTTGTCGTGTCTTGCTCAAGGACACACTTCAGTGACCACCCATCTGATCCCCGTGTCACCGACACTTGCTTGACATTGCTTGAGTCAAAATTCACTACTCACATAGCCACTGGAGCCCCCATATATGATGTGAGGAACGAGCTAGTAGCAAACTGTAGACAGTGGAAGATGTTTCACTCGTGCTAAACCATTATGTCAGGTGTTGGTTTGTGTCTTTTTTCAGGCACTTCTGTCTTGCAAATTTGATCTAAATTTAAAAAAAAAAAATTTGGGGCTCTTTGTGTGATCTGTTTCATGCACCCTGCCAATCCGATTGAGTTTGGGCCGGCCAGATTTTCTTTCATGGGTGGAATGAAAACTACCGTTTTAGCACATTACAACTGAATTTGAATTCAAATAAATTCACCTGTGATGTTTAAAACCAAATGCTTTTGTTTTTCAAGGTCGCTAGTCGAATCAGTTGTATAGTGCCAAAATGGTAGCTTTTGCCCTTTCCTGAAGGAATATCTGGCTGGCCCCGGCTCACTCTGATAAATGAGACTGACAGTGTGCACCGGATATGATATAGACATTTTATTTGTTTATTGTTATCTACTGTTAGCCCCAACCTGCGTCAGAATTCTATATTTCTTAGCTCATATTTTCTTCCTAAATGTCTCCACAGGCCCTGTAGCGGAAGCAGTGGACAAGTTTTCCGCACCAGTCCTTCTCAAGGTAGGATCAGATTGTATGAGTTT